GCAGACACATACATACATACATACATACATACATACATACATACATACAACAAACAAAATGTCCCAAATGTCGAGGCAAAGACCATAAGGAGAAAAATGGCCCAGACGACCATGAGAAAAATGTTGTCAAATTTGAATAATGGTCCGGGGGCCTCTCTCTCTCGGGGCAAGAAGGCGACAAGCGACAAGTGAGGGATGATGAGGGAGGATGTCTGCCTGTCTGTATGTATGTATATGTATGTATGTATGTGGCTGTCTGTGTATGTATGTATGTATGTTATTACTCCCATCATAACAACCATTACCTAAATCACCATAACAATAACAATCACACACACAACACACACACACACACACACACACACACACACACACACACACACACACACACGCAAGATGTACAGGGTCATTATATATTATTAATGGGGTCATACCTGAGTCAGTGTTAATGAGTTACACACCTGAGTCAGTGTTAATGAGTTACACACCTGAGTCAGTGTTAATGAGTTACACACCTGAGTCAGTGTTAATGAGTTACACACCTGAGTCAGTGTTAATGAGTTACACACCTGAGTCAATGTTAATGAGTTACACACCTGAGTCAAGAATGTTAATGAGTTACACACCTGAGTCAAGAATGATTATGAGTCACACCTGTGAATCTTTCCTGTCCAAGTGTTTAATTAGTGTTGTCGGACAGGTATTAGACAGACAGACAGACAGACAGACAGGCACACAGACAGACAGACAAAGATTCATTATTCATAGATAAAGACAGACAAAGACAGACAGCAGACAGACAGACAACAGACAGACAGACAGCAGACAGACACACCTACACATATCATCAGAGGAAGCAATTTACCTGTCGAGAGCTAATTAAGGAAGGAGTCATTACGAACAGGTAGTGTGATTACTATCTAAGAATGACTTTAATGGGATGGTGATGGTGGTGATGGTGATGGTAGTTATGGTGGTCATGGTGGTGGTGATAATGATGGTGGTGGTGATGATGATGATGATGATGGTGATGGTGGTGGTGGTGGTGATGATGGTGGTGGTGATGGTGGTGATGATGAATATGATGGTGATGATGGTGATGGTGGTGATGGTGGTGATGATGATGATGATGATGATGAGGTGATGGTGGTGATGGTGGTGATGATGATGATGATGATGATGATGATGATGTTGGTGATGGTGGTGACGATGATGGTGGTGATGATGATGATGATGATGGTGATGGTGGTGATGATGATGATGATGATGGTGGTGATGGTGGTGATGATGATGATGATGATGGTGATGTGGTGGTGATAATGATGGTGGTGAGGATGGTGTTGATGGTGGTGGTGATGATGGTGATGGTGGTGATGATGATGATGGTGATGGTGAGTGGTGGTGATGATGATGATGATGATGATGATGGTGGTGATGATGATGATGATGATGATGATGATGATGATGATGGTAGTGATGGTGGTGGTGATGGTGGTGATGATGATGGTGGTGAGGGATGGTGTTGATGGTGATGGGTGGTGATGGTGGTGATGGTGATGGTGGTGGTGATGGTGATAATGATGATGATGATGGTGGTGATGATGATGATGATGATGATGATGGTGATGGTGGTGATGATGATGATGGTGGTGATGATGATGGTGGTGGTGATGGTGGAGATGATGATGGTGGTGGTTATGGTGGTGGTGATGTGTTGGTGGATGGTGATGATGATGGTGGTGATGGTGGTGATGGTGATGATGGTGGTGATGGTGGTGATGGTGCTGATGGTGGTGATGGTGGTAATGGTGGTGATGGTGGTGGTGGTGATGATGCTGGTGATGATGGTGATGGTGGTGATGATGATGGTGATGATGGTGGTGATGGTGGTGATGGTGTGGTCATGATGGTGGTGGTGATGATGATGGTGGTGGTGATGGTGGTGGTGATGTTGGTGGATGGTGATGATGATGGTGGTGATGATGGTGATGGTGATGATGGTGGTGATGGGTGGTGGTGATGGTGATGATGGTGGTGTGGTGATGGTGGTGGTGATGATGATGGTAGTGATGGTGGTAGTGATGGTGGTAGTGTTGTTGGTGGATGGTGATGATGATAGTGGTTGATGGTGGTGATGGTGATGATGGTGGTGATGGTGGCGATGATGGTAGTGATGGTTGTGATGGTGATGGTGTGGTGATGATGGCGATGGTGGTGGTGATGATGATGGTGGTGCTGATGGAGATAACGATGGTGGTGATGGTGGTAATGATGATGATGATGGTGATACCTTGTCTGTCTTTCTGTCTCACACTCCTCCCTTCACTATCTCTCTCTCTCTCTCTCTCTCTCTCTCTCTCTCTCCACCTACCTAAAACACCACGTTCTCAGTCTACTATAAACAATGACCTTTGACCTCTTCTCCCTTAGGTCATGACCCCTGCAGCGTCACCCCATGGCTAGTGGACCACACCCTATATGTCTAAAGTGAGAAGTGACG